CCCCCCCCCCCTCTCTCCCTCCCTAGCCGGCTCTGCTCAGCTCGAACGATCCATCGTCGACCATGGTATTGCAAGTAAAAGTCGACCTAGATCGATATCCGGTCTTTCGCTTTTCTTCAGCCCTTACGACGACGAGATGCTCTGGCCTAATATCATCGGTACTCGTTCGATGATCGACCGTTCGGTCACTTGAGTATCAAAAAATCGATTCTATTAAAATGTCGAATGATCCGGTGCTGAAGAGTATGATGGGAAATAGCCAGCAGCCGTCAAAGCGGGGCCGTCCGTCCGTATATAGCGAGTCATTTCTTCAAAAACTTGTCCCATTCGCGGAAATGCTGACTGCAAGCCGGGCGACTGTCGTTCAAGACTCGGTCTGCGAGATTCGTGAACGACGGCCTGAAAACGTTCTCGTTCGTCTTCTCGTTGTTTGCGAGCAATTCGTTTTCCTCTGCTTTTTTTTCGAGGATGTAATCATCATGAGCGAGGTTATGGGAGTATCCTGACGCGGGAGGCGACCCTCTAGATGAAGCAACGGGTCCTGGCTCCGCTAACCGCGTAGAATCACTTTCTTGATCGCCCCCCTCCCCTCACCCTCCAGCAAGTCCATTTACCCATCTGCTAGGGTCCATAATCAACTTGGGGGATAAATATATCGATTTGCAGAAAGGCTTGTTCTCGCATGCTATTGCGTAGGCAAGGTACACATTCAAACGCCTTGTCGCTTCTGATTAGAGACCGTGTGCGTGGCGCATTCCAGAAATGTGGTCGACGAGACTTTACCAAAAGCCCATAGTCAAAGACACACATAAATACAAAGGTGCGGACTGTTCTTCTCTATCCTCAGACTAGCCGTATTCGGATTCTGGCGAGGTCGGACCTCAACTGGGCAGGAGAGGACCTCTTATGGAAAGTTTTCGTTGCGCAGAATCGATGCTGGCTGGCTCATCTTCAAAGCTCATCTTAGGCTTTTGCCGTTTTTGGAGAAAGATCGATTTGTCTATTGTCATGTTGTCGGCGGAGATGATGATGAAATGACAGTCGATTTTCAACGAGTCCACCCCATCCCTCTTACGACGACGACAACGATGTTGGGCAGGCAGGCAGGCAGGCAGGGGGGAAACCCGAAAGCCGCCCGACGCCGCAGCCCTATGACTGCCCACCGGGCTGCTAAGAGTCCTTGAGCAAAATCACAAAGACCGTTTAAGTTCACATGTGATCAATTAAAGCCAATCCGGTTTTGCACGCACTTTTCAGAGAGGACGACGATGTTGACGATGGTCAAGGGCAGCGGCTAGCAGCCTGTGTGTGGGTGTATGTACCCAAGCAATGTGGCTACACCCAAATCAGGAAATCTGGTTGAGAATGTGATAGGATAATCGGAAGGGAGGGTGATTGAGGATAGTCGTGGGCAACGATCGATACATAAAAGAGATACTATAGAATCAATAGGAAATGCTATTTAAAATGTTGATCAGATATGATTAGATGGAACAGGAAACAAGCCCCAGGAAAAAAGGTCTGGCCGGTTTTGTAGTGAAGAACGATACATCGGCCCCGATATTAAGCAATGTCCGAAATGAGATACGTTACGCACTTCTATTTCAAGGCAGTATCCGCCTTAAAAATGACTTCAGCTGAGAATTGACTTCTAGATGGTCCTGCTTGACAAATTTCTCCTGAAAACAGCTCCCTATGAATCAGAACTTCGGAGGTCTCCTCCACCAATGAGAGGGAGTATAGTCGTTTTGAGTTAACGTCCCTTTTTCCTTTGGTGGTCCAATGAAATCTGTAGACTCGATCAACTGAGCGCACTCAGGGGAGGGAGGGGGAGATTGGTGGGGAGNGGGGGGGGGGGGGGGGGGGTGAGAGTAAACTCAGGTAACCCAGAAGCGCAGTCAAGAAAGTACGACCCGCCCATCTCCTAGCTCTTCAATCCATGAGGAACATGTTTAGCAAAAATTTCTCTATTTTCAAGTTCAGAGAAGAAATTTTGCTCTATCAATCAATACTTCGCCCACGGGTAAACAAAAACAACAACACAAAGTACACAGTAAAACAGGAAGCCCTGGAAATCATTACATGAGGATCGCGGTGGTGGACATTCTCTTCTTGCTGACAGTTCTCTTTGGGAGATTAAAGAAGTGGATAGCGACCGCCTAGTTCGGTCAAAGTTTAGGGATGAAGCCTGTTTGCAGAGATTCTCTTATCACTTAGAAGTCACGCTCCAGCGTGGGTGGAACTATCCCAAAGTTTCAAGGGTGCAGGTTTCGTGGAGTGCGTTCCTTAGGGAAAAATAGTGCAAACTGACCAATCATTCAATTATATAACCTGCTTATTCAATTTGTCGGTTCACCGGTATATCTCCCAATCCGTCTTTCAATAGATCGACGGTTCCGGTAGCAGAGCTTCAAAAGAGGCCGACGAGTGACACAATCGCTATATGAGATGGCCCTGCTGTACTATTAGAAAACCCTATTGGAAGTATCTTTGGTATATTGATGCCGGACATCTACTGAAAGATGGGAAAAATTGAAAATGTCCCGTTTTTAAGAAAGTTCTGTATCGTTTTTTTATCCTTTCATTTGCCTACTTCCATTTATATGCAAATAACTTACCCAAGGGAGTCTCGGAATGTGTTAGGATCGGAACAGGTGGAGGTGCTGGTGTGGTATATCCTACAGTTGCTGGGTGGGTAGTTCAGAACTGAGGATTTCCGGTTGTGAATGCGCTTTTTTTACAGTGTAGGACACTAGGACACCTCCTCAGAATATCTACAAAAACCCGTAGGGTGAGGCATCGGAATTGTAGTAGAGAGGCCCATTGATGAGAAATTGAATGGCCTCGACAAGGGGGTGTGAAAAAATTGGTAAGCTTTCAAATTGAAGAAAAGAAATCCTGCTTTATCGAACGATATTTTGTCGATGAGTAAACAAAAACAACAACACAAAGTGCACCATAGAAGGAGCAGTACTAGCAAAGAGTACTGGAATTTACTAGTTATAGGAATAAATAGCAATAAAAAGTAAATAAAGTAGAAAAAAATAAATATAAATAGAAAAACGGTGGCAGTTAAATTGAAATCGGAAAAAATAGACAAGTAATTAGGTGGCTCTTGAACCTGTCCAGTCTTTTCGCAAGGTGTTGGCAGCCCATCAACTCGTGGGCAGTTAAGTAGGAGGCTGAGACCCGGTGGCGAATAAGCAGGTTCGCGAATGAGCAGCCTGGCTGCAACAGAAAGAGGGAGCGTCGACTGTGGGGTAAAATTGCTGAGAAAGAGTTTCCAAATGTCTAAAAATTGCCTTGAAATGGATTAATTCGTGCAAGTTCTAAAAAAACGAGAAGACTGACCCTTTGATTGGGAAGGAGGATCATGCAACTGAAGGCAGGTGGAGCGTTATTTCTCGATGAAGTTTTAGACATGATCCCCTACTGATCAAGTACTAGGTTCTAGGTTTGATATACTGTACTTATACAGTAGTAAGACTAGAGGGTTTAGTTTAGAAGGCTCTTTATGGAGCCGAATCACTGTTCATGATATGAACAGAAGACTTTTCAACACGGATAGTTTGGAGTGTCCGTTCATGAAATATAACCTTTTCCAGCCCAGTGTGGGAAAAACCTTTGACGTAGATTAAGTGAGATTTTCTGTAGTCACACTGGTCACGCTGTAGTGTGACGCACAGAAGTGATCACGCTCCATGCCACAATTGCTGTAGGAAATATTGGTGATATCGGAGTTCAGCGAATCATTTGAGTTTACGAAATATTAGAAAATGTTCTGGAACACCATAGCTCCTTATGAGGGCATTATAAGGGGCTCCTGGCTTGTCCTCTGAATAAAACAACCAAGAGCCGCTGATATTTTGAGTAAAAGCCATATATTGTAAGTTATGCTATTGTTGACACCAAGGCTATAGCACACTGAGAGTGGATTACTTGGCGACAGGTTTCCCCGATGCGTCTTCAATGGTATGTGACACGAGCCTCATCGTAACGACCCTATAGTTACTTAAAAATCCTTTACGGCGCTGTTCGACCAAACTTGTACTCATCGTGGTGAATCTTTTTGTAGCTGGGTACATTTCTCCCGGTCCGGTCGAAGAGCCTTAGACGGGTCCGAGAGGATTGAACCCTTGAACACTGGGATACCGTCAGTTGAGTTTATATATCTCCTCTATGGGGCAGAGGGATGATAGGAGAGAAGTTTCCGTCCAAGATTCAGGGTCTTAGTAGAAGCTGCCCACTTATTTGTTATTTCACCATGTAGGGTTACTGTAACAAATCTTGGGTTGTTTGTATATTTACACCAGAAAGTACATAACTAGTAATGGTTACTGTGGCTTGAAACCTGTCNCCCCCCCCCCCCCAATCATCCCACGCTCCTCTTTGCCCACTATCACCCATCACCGTCACTCCGGGTTTTCTCATCTCTCGTGTTCCCTAGCTGTGGGCGGTGCTATCCGGGCGGCGCCTAGAAAAGGCTCGCGCCTGCGGCATATCGGCCAACGCACTCCTCGGTAATGCGCCTTCTTCTGTCTGTACTACTAGTCGTCGGTCCCGCTGCCGCATGTTTCGGTGCGATCTGTTACTTTATATTTGATTTTTAAACTTTTATGTATTTATTTTTACTTTATATGTACACATATAGCTGTTACTTGTTATTTGGTATACTGTAGATCTTACTGTACTTGACTATATCTTGACTAACCAGGACTTTTGATGAGTTCTGACTTGGGTTCGACCCCTACTGACTCTGATGCTTTGGCAGTACATACCGTAATTCTTTATTGAAGCTTTTGTTGGTACCACTTGATTAGATAGTTTATCATTTGATGCTTGTCATTACTGTATATCCTACGGTAACAGCAGGGCTGTACCCGGGTGGAATTAATTCGTAATCAAGTTATACGGGTGACAGATCAAAATTTTTACCCCGAGTTTGCTTTACCTATTTCATTTTGGTGATAAAATTGATGCATACTTCCTTCTAGGTGGTGGTGGTGGCGGAGGTGGTGGTGCATGCTGTCCACCATCAGCACCAGCTTGCTCTGCAGGACCTCCATGTTCTAGTTCCAGGTAAGCGTTTACTGTAATAATTGAATACTGTATATCGATTTATTGACTACCAAAAGATTGAGATCTTACGTAAACTTGTGCCGAAGCTTGGTGGTTATTGCAACTCGTACTGTATTGATTTATGTGCTCGTATCCGGTCGATAAGTCGCCTGAAAATGACTTGCTGTACAGGCTACGAAGAATTCGTCTTTCCTCGTAAAACTCCCAGAAATTAGTTCGAGTTCGAATCCTTAAACTCTCCAGGCCCGAAATAGCCCTAGCTTCCCCTGGACAACGATTAGGTCCGCTTCGTTACAGAAACCTTCGGAATGCTCTTCGATTACTAATAAGTTTGGCTGCTTTATATGTCTATAATACTGCGTCTGAAAGCGGTTTTTGTGGTCTTTGTGGAGTAAGCCTCAAACTGTGGAAGTTTCATGCTGCCCTTTGGCTATGCTAGACATTACTGTTCAGTAAGCAAAGATTGTCTATCGAAGTAGTCCTTTTGTAGCTACCTCTGCACTGACCAGAAAGGGGTTTCTCCGGCCTTCAAGCGGGACTCGACCGAGGTTCAAGCCTTGGAAGGGTCTAAACATTGCTAGGGCTGGAACTATAGCAGTGGCAGAGGCGCAGCAGCAGCCGGTCCACTTTTTTCGGTTAATTCCCCATTAGATGGAGCGTGTACTCCTCCTTCCAGAACTGCTCAGCTGGTAGTGTTCATTGTATTGGCCAAACCTCCGATTGTCCCTTCGACTCCGAATGATGGCCTTAAGCATGGTGTAGTCCAAGGACGTCAGCAAAAGAAAACGATAGTTATTGATGGAATTGTTTTGTTTTTTGTAGCTATTAAGATACTGGCCAACGGCGGCCGTCAAGGCAAACAGCGATGGCGTTGGTTGGTGAGTTTCGGAGCCAGTTCCCATTAGCTGACGGTAGGAATCTATAGCCCATGGGAAACATTAGCCAATACAACGATTCCAATTCGCTTTTTCGCTTAGAAAATCGAAAACGTAGAATCGCCTATGACGGGATTGTTCAGCATTCTCGGCGTTTGAAAGTAGCTCCTTGGAAGGTTCAGGACGTCCAAAAGTAATAAATTTATATTTATGGCTCCCTAATGAGTCGGGGGAACCCTAAAGAGTATCTGGTTGAAAACAGGACGAACAGGATCCCCAGCAGCTTCATATATGTTATGGATTCCGTCCGCCCGAGAATGACCCTACCGGCCACTTGTTCTAATAGCCTTTTCGTACCGCCTCTGTAAAAAAAGCCAGACCGGACAGTCAAGCCGGATCACCAGGATCTCCTGCTTTCGGGTTGACACTGAGATTGCGACAGAACGAGGCCTCCGTGCTGGAGACGTTCCGAGGGATAGTTGTGATCCAGGGTATTTCATGAACTTGGGCTCAATCTCCTTGTTTTCGAGAAAGACTTCATTTTCGACGAACACTTGACATGGTGGTTAGCCTTTCTACGAATTCGCTTTCATTGGGTGGTGAAGAACCGACCCGATTAGGCCTCCCTCGCCGGCTTCGGAATCCATACCACCGTTATTCAGGGAAGAACTGTCTTTTCAACAAGAGAAGTCAAAAACAGAATGGTGTCGGAACGTTTTCGCCGCAAAACGACGAGCGAACCGTCTTCATCCCAATTTCAGCTGTTTCTTTTCAATCAACCCCGCAACGTTGCGCGATCCTGACCAACATTCTCTTCATAACGGTCATGTTCAACAGCATGATGAATGCCCTCGATTTTTTCAAACAGATCTAGATGAAACTGATAGAAAAGTGGGCTTTTCGAATAAGAAAACCAAAGGTTTCTAGTTAAGTTAGATTTCTCTTGCCCTTCTAGAGGTGTTGAAACTCTCATGGAACTTGCTCTAGAGGCCTAAGCCCGAGGGTCAGCCAGGTTCCCTCTTCAGGAATCTGGAACATGGTCCGTAAGGAAGCTGAATGTGTCACTTTCTGGTTCTGTCACTGTTCAGATAGAAAATGTTCTTACCAATCGAACGCTAGTGAAAGCTCTACAAGAAATTCTCCCTAAAGGAACCGAGGACAGAAGGTAGAGGGTGTTGAGGCCAGAGTATCGTATGCGAAATTCTTACAGGGCTGGATTTTCGCTATCAATAATTGCGTAGGAATGGAGGATGGAAGAATCCCAGCTAGTCTTGTGAGAGGCGTTTGAGTGTAGCATTCGGGAACGATTGTTTATGATCACGTAGTATCCGAAAAAAAGAAAAGTATTATATCATAGAAGGAGATTGGCGAAGTTTTGAAGCGGAACTAGAAGGGGACGGACTCATGGCAGGAAAAGCTCTTAGCCGGCTCTGATCCGCTTGCCAGGGTGTGTGGAAGAGTACTTGAAGGGAAAGGAACCGGATAAGGAAAAGGGTTTTCAATGACCACATTGAAGTTGTAGCGAAACTCGGAAGGAACCGAAGAGTACTAAAAAGAGGAACGGCTTTGGAAATTGTTAATGGTTTTTAAGCTCTAATATGGACCCCCTACCCTTTTCACCCTAAACAGAAGAAGCGAGTGCCAAAGGAAGTGATCATAAACCGTCTTCGTGGATTGAGTCCTTCAGGGCGCCAGTTGGCCCTTGTATGAACTAAATGAAAAACTCCTTGGTATTCCCATTGAAAATCCCAAAAAGGAGACCCCAAGTGGGTATCGGTTTTTATGATTACCTGAAACCTGTACCCATTGCAAAGTGTGCACTAATTGTGTCCCATTCTATCGTGTTGCAGCATAAAATGCTTGGGAACGCGTTTTTGAGCTGAACGAGGCGGTGTGGCCAACGCCGACTGACCAACCCACACACGACCTGATGTAATGTGAAGAATTTCATTAAAATGTCTAATGTTTTTACGACGAAATGCTTTCGTCGTGATCGTAGGCAAACCTGCTTCGTGGCCAATTCGTATCAGGCGATTCGATCCGATAACGTTCAGGTTAGCCACCCAACCCAGCCCAGATAGCCAGCTGAATGAGCTAATCTGCTTGTTCATATCAGTTGCATCATACGAGTATCATTGGAAAAAAAAGTGATTACAAAGTTATAAGAACTTACTGGTACTGGCTACGTGCAGTTAATGACAGCTATGTCATAGGAGGCCTGATCGATGGTGGTTCTCAGTAACCGTACCGTATCGTAATCTTTTTTTGGACGAAATCTCATTCTTATCCCTTGTTATGGCTTCATCAACAGCCTGGGAATTCGCGGCTTGTTGGCTATCTAAGACAACGGAACTGGAAAAATCGGTTCTCACGTTGGGAAGGAAACTGATCTTTCCAGCTACTTTGTCTTTCAAAGTCACTAGGGGCATCCTTATGCTGGGTTAATTGGGTCCAATAGGAGGAACTTTCTGATGAGGAGAATGAAAGTGAAGAAGACTTCGATTTGCAGGAAGTCTGAGGATCTGTTTCAACTAGAGTTTCTCTTGGATGTGGTACTTACTAGGACGGAGGTGTATAGTACCTAAAACTGCTATCACATGCATGACTGAGGATAAGCTCCCAGATCTACAAACCCTTTCATGCCCACGAGGTCGATCGTGTTCCTGAATGGGAATCGAATTTGTAAGCGCATCCCAAAACGGGAGATGGATCATCAAAAACTTTATCTTTTATCTCGCTAACGGAATAAGTACGGGTTCCAGCGTACGACAAGCATTCCAATCCGACTGACTCCAGAGACAGGGAGCGTGGCTGTAGTTGCTGAAAAAAAGCTCAG